CTTCCCGGAGAGCTGGTTGTATGACAGGTCGATGGAGAACAGAGTCTCGAGGACGTACTCGAGTTCGAGTCTCGAACCCTTGGCCTCAATGGAGATTTGCTCGAGCAATTTGTTCCCCTTCACCTCGACCAGTACGGGGGTGATGCTATTGACATTGACGCCTCCCCCGGCATCGTCTGGCGACGCTTCGAGGCGACTAAAGCCTTCCAACCCCGAGAGATTGGTGGGCCAGACTCCCGTGAATGAGTTGTGCGACAAGTCGAGCACTTGCAGATCCGGAAGCTTCCAAATCCAGCCGGGCACGCGGCCGCCGAATTTGTTGGATGCTAATTTCAATACTCGCAATTCGCGCAGCACTGGCTGAGAGTACTCGTAGTTGTCCGGGAGCTCCTCTGAGAATTGATTGCTGCTCAGGTCCAGGAGCTTCAGATCCGTGCAGTTGTACACGCTCACGGGAAATTCTCCGCCCAGCTGGTTCCCCTTGACAGAGAAGCTCACGAGGGATCGCAGCTGCAAGAAGTCAATCTGAGTGACTGTGCCCGTGAGCTTGTTGTTGCTCAGCCTGATGATTGTCAGCGAGCTGCAGTTCGCCAGAGACGCGGGAATGGTTCCCGTGAGGTTGTTGCTGTCGAGAATAAGATAGACGATATTCTGCAGTCGCCCCAGCTCTGGAGGGATTCCGCCTGTCAGCCCGTTCATATGAAGGCGTAAGTACTCCAAATTCTCCAGACCTCCGAACTCCGGGGGGATTTCTCCTGTCAAAAAATTGTTGCTCAGATTGATGTCTTGTATGTTCTTCAGGTCGGCCAAGCTGGTGGGTATGGGCCCCGAGAGCCGGCTATAGTGGCTATAACCAAATCCAAATTGCTTCAGAGGATTAATTGAAAACTACCTTTACCACACCATGGGGAACTTTTGACTTTAGAGTAATGCCATTTGGTCTATGTAATGCTCCAGCCACTTTCCAAAGGTTCATGAATAGGGTGTTTGAACCTTTCATTGGAAAGTTTGTCAGAGATTTCATAGATGACTTTTGTGTGTACGGGAAGAAGGAGGATCATTTTGATCATTTGATCAAAATACTCCAACGTTTGGAGGAAGCCAAAGCTTCACTCAATCCAGAAAAATGCATTTTTGGATGTGAGGAAGACTTATTGTTGGGGCACATCATTTCCAAGAATGGTATAGCTGTGGATCCAGAGAAGGTGACGAGGATCATGGAGTTACCTTTTCCGGTGACGTTGACCGAGTTGAGACAATTCCTTGGTATGGTGGAGAACTATCGGAGGTTCATCTTGTCCTTCTCCAACAAAGCTCATGCCTTGACGAGTTACATGAAGAAGGGGACCGAATACGAGCTCATCTTCAATGATAAAGAGGCGAAGTTGGCGTTTGAGGCACTCAAGAAGGCGTTGGTGACGGCTCCAATTTTGGCGAAACCTGATTAGGGTAAACCTTTTCTTCTATATACAGATGCATCAAATATTGCTGTAGGATGCACCTTGAATCAATTTGATGATGAAAAGCATGATCATCCAAATGCTTCTACTAGTAGACAGATGGTACAAGCAGAGAAGAATTATTCAATGACCGAAAGGGAGGCTTTAGCTGTCATCTTTTCACTTAAGAAGTTTCGACACTATCTTTTGGGTGGAAAATTCACTCAAGTGACTGATCATAAGGCCTTGAAATATATTTTCAACAAGCCTAATGCTGAGGGGAGTATAGCTAGATGGAAACTACTACTAGCGGAATTTGATTATACCATTGAGGATTGACTGGGAAAGAAGCATGCTAATGCGGATTTGTTGTCAAGAGTTTATGATGAGGGAGGAGATCAATCTGTAAATGACACTTTTCCGGACAAAGATTTGTTGGTCATGGACACGGTGACATTGGTACCAGAGGAGTAAAAGGAGATTTGGGAGTTCATTTCCAAAGGAAAATTTCCTCAAGGTATGCATTCAAGAGAAAAGAATGCATTGATAAAAAGATGTCAACCCTATATGATCATTGAGAAGGTGTTATTTCATCAAGGACCTGACGGTCTGCTACGACGAGCTGTTGGAAGAGGCAAAGCATTGCAACTTATGAAGGAGTTTCACGAAGGTGCCATGTGTGGAGGACATTTTGCGGGGAAGGTAACAGCCTTCAAGATCCTTGATGCTGGATATCATTGGAAGGGTATTTTCAAAGATTGTGTGGAATTTTGCAAGAGTTGTGATGTGTGTCAAGCTTTTGCTAAAAAGTCCATGAAAACGCCTCCTTTGATTTCAGTTCCAATTTTAGGTCCTTTTGAAAAATGGGGAATAGATTTTGTAGGTCCTTTGAATCTTACTCCTCGTGGAAATAAATTCATTGTGATAGCTATAGATTATCTTACCAAGTGGGTAGAGGCAAGACCACTAAAATCTACTAATGAGAAGGAGGTTGGTAGGTTTTTGTATGAGAGAATCATAACCAGATTTGGTTGTCCTTTGGAGTTAGTGTCGGATAGAGGATGAGAGTTTGTGGGAAGTATGATCCAAGCAATGTTAGATCATTTTTCCATCAAGTCTAGAGTGACCACTTCCTACAACCCAATGCTAATGGGTTGGCGGAGCGGACCAACTACACTCTTTGTATGATGTTGGCCAAGGATGCAGACATGGACGGGAGCAAGCAAAACTGGGACAAGAGGTTGCATGCTATCTTGTGGGAGTATCGAACGACTTGGAAAACATCTACCGGATATTCACCTTTTCGGATGGTGTATGGAGTTGAGTCAAAACTCCCAATACAATTTGACTTGACTACTTTCATGACAATCCAGCAAAGGTTGAAGAAATCAAATGGAGCAGAAGCCATCAAGTCTCGCCAACAACAATTGATGGAGTTGGAGGAAGCTCGAGCACTAGCCATGGTACGAGTGGAGCGGGTTCAACAGTTGCAGAAGAAGTATCACAACAAACAAAGTGGAAACCAGAACTTGAAGCCATTCAAGGAAGGTGATTGGGTGATGCTCTTTGATGCAATTAGATACAAGAGAGCTAGGAAAAAGTTTCTTCCTAAGTTATTTGGAACTTTCATAGTTGCGAAGGTGTGGGGAAACTTTACTTATGATATCAAGGAGTTAGGAGGACGTCACTTCGATCGAGTCAACCACGACAAGTTGAAATTATTCCATCGAAGATCAGATTCTTTCACTTCGAGGGCGTAGTGAAATCTTGGTCCGGGGGTAAATGTAAGACCAAATATTGCATGTGTGAAATAAAACTAGAATTAGCCAAGGAGTTAATAATGGTTAGGATAATTATGACTAAATCTAGCTAGTTATGACTAAGTCTAGCTAGTTTAGCTATAATGTTTATACTTGGCGGAATAACTAGAGAAGTTCTAGAAGATTTGAGTGAGCATTTCTATTTTGTCTTGTACAAAAGTCTAGATTCCAAGAGAAAAGACTTTTGAACTTCATGTTTAGTTTTGATTGGTTTGACTAAAGTAAGGAGTATTCCATTGGTTAGATTAAGTCTAATGTTGACTTAGTGGAAAGTGGAAGTTCTAGAAGTTGGAAAGTCACAAATGGCATGTCGCCACCTCAATCTAGGGATTAATAAACATCTAGAAGGTTTAGGGGGCCAATGGCATGTTGCCACATATTGATAACTAGTCAACCTTACTATGGTTTATCTTCGTAAAAGTAAGTTAGATAGAAATTACCATTTGTTACTATGGTAAATTCTCAAGTAGTATATATAGAGAGGTAGGGAAGAGCCTCTCAAGCAAGTTTGGAGAGTTCATATGTAGAGACTTGTTTCATATATGAAAGAGTGACGAATTTTCAGTACCTTGGAGTGTCGATGAGTGTATGAGTTGGAGTGATACCTTGAGATATTGTGTGAGAGGGTGTTTAGTTTATGACTATGATGCGGAATCCTAGTCTTCTAGAATCATGATGAGCTACCGAAAAGCCATCTGAGGTAAACCTGAGTGAGAGTCAGCCCGGAGGTTGAAGAACAGGATTCTCTACGTCCTTACATCATATTATTGCTAGGCATAGAACTGGATCTCATAAGCTTGGAATTGAGGAAGGACGTTGGCTTAATATTGATAGGAATGAACGTATTTTTAGGCTATGTGATGGAAGAGAAGTTGAGTATGAAGAGCATGTATTTCTTACTTGAATAGATATGCAGAGATTAGGGTGACTCATAATTAGCGGTCGGCCCGGCTCGGTTCGGTTCAGCTCGGCTGGAGCCGTTAGTACATGGAGCCGGCTTAGCTCGGAGCCGATCGCCATGACAGAAGCCGGCTCGGGAGCCGGCTCGACTAAGTCGTAGCCGAGCCGGTCTAGAGCCGGCTCGACTACGTCTGCTGAGTCCAGTCGACTGAGCCGGCTCCGGAGCCGCTCTCGCAGAGTCGAGCCGGCTCCGAAGCCGGCCCGACTAAGTCGTAGCCGAGCCGGTCTGAAGCCGGCTCTGCCGAAGCCGGGCGGACCCCTACTCATAATATAGATGTAGAGAATTTTTATTCTTTGTTACATTTAGTTCCTTTTGATTTAGGTTGTTATATTAGGGACATTATTAGTTATCGTTCTAGTGCTCTTGACACTAGCTAGGGATTGGCCTTTGGGGTCTTTTCCCTTGTTTGTGATTTTCGCTTGTATTGTGTTTTTCAGCCTTTTGACACTTTGGGTCCCCCGGGCTTGATCTATTACCATTTACCATTTATCATGCTTTTTTAGAAAGATTTGAATGCATACCGAACTAACGGTCTGCATGCGTTGCATTTGATTTTTTGAGTCCGCCTTTTTGAAGACTTTTCTTTCACTTATTGATGATTCATGGAACAATGAAGCTAAAAGTTGGAAGAAGTGCTTTGATCACGAGTTGTTGGTGAAACTATTAACTCTGTATATATCGATTCTGAATGGAGCGAGATAACTTCGAAGCAGTTTTCTCACCACTCTAACAAACTATTCTGGAACTTCATTTGCTCTGTAGGTTTATGGAATGTTGATGGCTAGATCAACCTACGAAGGGATGATCCTTGCTAGTCCTGAGAAAAGGCCATTTGTGTTAACCAGAGCAGGTCATGTTGGAAGCCAAAGATACGCTGCCACATGGACCGGTGACTATCTTTCAAGTTGGATACATCTTTGAATGAGTATACCAATGTCACTAAACTTCGTACTGTATCCAGTCCCACGCAAGTTTGGAAATGGGGGTTATCAAATGTCACATCTTCTATGGATTCAGAATCGTGTAGGAAAGTCATGTTGCACAAGAAACCTTACCTCGAAGGAAAAAGAATGGTATTCAACTAATACCACCATAAACATCTGTTTTTCAGGGTTTAAGTGGACAACCATTCTCCGGGCCTGATATTGGTGGTTTTGGTGGAAACGCTACACCTCAAATGTTTGCGCGGTGGATGGGTATTGGGGCCATGCTTCCATTTGCACGTGGCCATTCAGAGAAAGGGACCGTGGATCATGAACCCTGGGAATTTGTGAAAGAGGTGGGTTAATCATTTCATGATGAACCAATCTGTTTGATGTCGATGGTTGAATTTAGTAGGTCAGACCTGGATGTGTGCCCTCCCTGTACATTTCGTTACGCTGACTCGTACCAGGGATAGATGAGTAATGGTTTTGAAAGTGTACAACTGTGTTTGTGATTATTGGAAGGTAACAAACTTCGCAAATCTGGACTCTTTCGCAGTGTGAAGACGTCTACAGGCAGGCACTGTACAGGAGATATCGGATACTGCCGCACCTATATACTCTATTTTGCAAGGCACATACGACAGGAGTTCCGATAATGTCTCCTTTGTTCTTCGCTGGTTAGTTTCAAGCCGACTCTAGTACTCCCTGCGAGCAAGAATTTTATCGATGAGTTGGAGCTTGGTCTATACTGGCCGTAATTGGACTTTATACTAAAAGTTTTGAAAACATGTGTTACAGATCCTAAAGATGAGAAACTTCGTAAGGTGGAAGACAGTTTTCTTCTGGGACCTCTCCTGGTTGCAGCATGGTCAGAACTTTCTACCCTTTTGCTAAGAAAGAAGAAAGCAGTTAAAGTTGAAATGATCGATTTTTTTTTGGAATCTGAAGTAAAAGCTGAACAAAAGTTAGTACTGTTCAAGAAAGCAGAGGTTGTTCAAGTGTCAGTATATCTCTCTTCGCTGATATTATAGTGGTGCATGTGCAGTACTAAAGCTGGCAAGAAACCTGATCCAAAGAAGACTGTCCTACCAAATGGGTTGTGGCAGCTCTTTGATTTCGATGACTCACATCCGGTGAGTTAACGTTTCACTGAAACCGGGACGAAAACGGGAAGACCTGATTTCTTATTGCAACATCTTACGCAGTGTTCGTAGGACTGAGTGTCTCGTAGACTATCAGATCGTTTCATACTGTGTACGAAACAACCTTGTCATGCTCGTAATGAACAAATACATTGTCATGTCTAAATGCTCAGCCATCCAGGGACTCTTTCTTCCAGCATCTTCTGAGAAAAGTTTTCACCTGCCATTTTGAATCGAGATGGTATTTGTAGAACGTGTACATGTGATTGAACAATGTATGTAATACACATAGCAGCACCTCCGTGTCTTTCACTTCTTTCAGAAATTTATTTGTGACTTGTTTTTAATTCAATTTCAGGATTTACCGTTACTGTTCCTCAAGGGAGGATCTATCATCCCGACTGGTCAGGTTTCACAGTACACGGGTGATGTCAGTGAGAATGATCCCATCACACTCATCATAGCTCTTGAGGAAGAAGGTTAGTGGTCCGACATTCTGATGTTATTCTAATAGGTGCTTCAATTACATGCACGCACGTTTCTCTTTTCGGTGATTATTGCTTCTAGAACTACTGATACATATGCATGCAGAAGACCAAATCTTCCAGTGAACTTCGTCTAGGCTTGATACATATATCACATGAACTGCATATCGGCAAGGCTTTACATTCTCAGCTATAATTTGCTGATATGCTTGAGTTGTTGATTGTTGACTTGCAGGAAAAGCAGAAGGGACACTCTACGAGGATGATGGAGATAGTTTTGAATATAAAAAAGGACAGTTCTTGCTTACTCGTTACTCTGCTGCCCTGCTCTCCAGCTCCACCGGAGGTTCAAGTGGAAAAAAGATCGTCATCAAAATCACCCAGTCGGATGGTTATCTTAGCAGGCCCAAGCGTCCTCTCAAAGTGCGCATTTTGCTCGCAAATAAAGCGGAGGTAAGCTATGTATCATTGCTTTACTTGGCATGAGACCGTCAATCCTCGACGAATAACTGGAGACGTTTGTGGGGACAGCTGTAAAAGAATATTTTGAAGAGAATCGAAGGAAAACTTGTGAATGAACAGCTTCTGAAATATATGTTAACGAGTGTTTTCACCTTCTTGGCCGCAGCTTGAGGGTGAAGGTGTCGATGGCGAGGAATTGACTGTCGACCTGCCTTCACGACTCGACATGGCCCAGATCACGACTCTCATCCAACAGCAGGATCTGCCAAAGGAAGGTTGTTCATATAAGCTCGTCATTGTATTTAAATATTTTCACAGTTGTGGGCTTCAGCGTGGTGATTTTTCATTATCAATAAACTAATCGAGCAGTGAAGAGACTCTGGTAGCTCAAGGGTGATGTGTTCTGCCGCTCAGACGCTGTGGAAAACTCTCCTAGTGTTGCATTTGTGACTTAGAGCAGATGTAACTCCTATTACTCGTGAAAACTCCATAATTGCAGATGATGAGAATATTCCAGATGAAGCCGATCACAAGACCTCAGAGAGCCTTGCAGTTCCTCCAACGACTCTGCTGGATCTGAAAATTGGTGACTGGTCCCTAAAAGTGGCACCCTGGATTGGTGGTCGGATTGTTTCTATGATCCACGAGCCCACAGGTACAAACACTATGAAGTTTTCTACTTTTGTAAATTTTTTTTACGAAGCTAAAATTTCGAGGTCCTCTAATTTGATGCTGCATTTCAAGGATACATACACTTACAAATCCATTCATTCCAATACAGAGACCGAATGGCTGGAAGGAAAACTGGAGCATGGAGCGTATGAAGAGTACAGTGGGGTCGAATATCGATCTCCTGGCTGTGTGGAACAGTATGATGTCAAGTAAGGAATCAAAACCATGCTGTAAAGTAGAAAGTAGTCTTGTACACCTTGAATGCCTGCTGGATTAATTCGTCGAACGATATATATCTAAGCCTCTACATGCGTCTGTGCAGAAAGGAGCAGTCAGAAATAGAAGGAACAGACGGTGTAGTTATGGAAGGTGACATTGGTGGAGGATTGGTGATGTGTTGTCAAATTGGCGGCAAGGGAGCTGATTCAAAAATAGTATAGATAAGCTCCTCAATTGAGGCTAGATCTGTTGGTGCTGGTTCAGGTGGATTTTCTAGGTAAGCATGCTTATTTCCCTATTATGAAAATCATCTAGTGTTTAAGTGTTTAGTGTTCATTGTGAGCCCGGCATGTACGTCACAGTTAACGCTGACAGTAGGGGGATGGAGGCAGAAGAACGGGCAGGTGGTGTGAAAAAGGGTGGAGACATTAAGCTTTCATCTCATTTACTTTCAACACATTCTTTGTCATTCAGGTTGGTGTGTTTGAGGGTGCATCCATCTTTCAAAGTTGCCGCCTATGAACTGGCATTGGTGAAGTTGACATCCATCAGTGGAGAAGCTCGAGAAATAGTCCCGAAGCCCGGCGATATAATGTTGACAGCAGACGACTGACCAAATGGTGAGTCTTGGCCCCCACTCCTGCCTCACCTTATAACAAGTTGCAATTTCGTGTGCATCACCAATTTCGAAGAGCTGACTCAGTGGTACTACTTACAGCGGTTAATACTAAAGGAACGAAGTTTCACCAATATCTAGAAGCTCTTGACACGCGCCTGTTGCATGGATGCAGGAGAGTGGGCATTCTTAGACAAAGAGAACGGAGTGGCCATCGTGAACAGATTCAACCCAGAGCAGGTGTTCACGTGTGTAATCCACTGGTCAGCAGGCATTTGCAACTTGGAGCTTTGGTCTGAGGAAAGGCCCGTTTCCAAGAAACACCTCTTCAGATATGTCATGAATATGAGACTGTCAGTGAGCAGGAGTTGCTTCAGTCTCAGCCTTGAGCGTGGCGGCCTCCACGATCTTCTGACTCTTGTTCTATGGGAAGGTTTGAGAGCCGACCTCATCGTTTTGCCCGGATCGAGTTGTGTCGTGGTATTAAGCCTGTCAATTGTTGAAGAGCTTGACTGTTAACAGGCTTGAGCAAATAGCATAATTCTGTACAGCTGTACACCGTTGGAATGTAAATCTTTGAGTAATATTCTTTGCAGTAAAATCATCGAAATTCAAACTTTTCATCGTCTCCAGTTTCTGGTGATCTGAAAGATATGATTGTTAGCCGGTCTCTTTCGATTCTGCTTGGTGTTAGATATGCTTTTTGTCATAGAAATAACCGTCGAGTGACTACTTCTTGCCGGAGATCAGACAAGTGAGTTGTTGGATGACTAAGATGTGAGGTTGGTGATAGTCTACTGAAAGAGTGTATGAAAAGGTGTAAGCAAAGTATGACGAGTGTAAGACAGTTCGGATGATTCGTGGTCTTAAGGAAACACCATTTGGAAGTGCAAACACCATTTCATTGCAATTGCAGAAACTTAACATGTGGTCATTTCTCAAAGGAGCAAAGTAGTGGACTAAGATCTCATATTCTTATATCGGTTGTCTCCGAAGGGACATCCGATAAAATTATTAAGCGTGATCTGCTCAATGAGCTTGACATGAATATCTGATGCGTTGCTTGATGAGACAAAAACTAGGTGAAGACAAATTAAACAAAGTCCGAATATACAGCAGCACATGTTTCTAAACATGAGTTCTTACTATTGTGAGAAGGAAATTGAAAGAAGATTAATATCGAGACAAATGAAACAATTAACAAGCACATGTTTCTCTAAACATGAGTTCTTACTATTGTGAGAAGAAAATTGATCTCCTGTCTGTGAATTGATCTCCTGTCGTAAATTTTCACTACATTATATCAATTATAATTTATATTAAATCATGGATTGAATGATCTGTAGAACACAAATCATGTTTAATCATAAGCATAAATACTCAATAAAACATACATACTAAATGTATTTACAAGGATATGCGTCGAACAAACTGGACGTGGCATCTACTCAAAGCTCTGAGCCTTTATATTACAACGACGCTGACAAAAGCTTCCGAGGGAAGTGTGATATACTGCAATCATGAATCGTCGTGGAATCTGGCCTTCCGAGGGCTCTATTTTACTCAGTCCAATCGGAACAACTCCGTGCAGACAACGCTCTGCTATCTAGAGGCCCAGTAGCACATTTGTATGGCGCACAATGATTCCTCAAAAAATCCCATGATGACAAAAAAAAACTCTTAATGATTTATTTGATGGGACCCAAAGGGTTTCAATTTACCCGATGCTACCTTGACGGCCATAGTCGGAGATGTTCCAATACGATATGGGATTATTTCGGTAATCTTTTTTTTCCGGATGCAGTTATGGCAAGACTCTATAGGAAGTATTTCAGAATCATGGTGCCCTTTGCTCGAACTCGTATTTCTGATACTAGTTCGTAGTGTATATGAAGATGAAGTCCGACGGAAGCATTTCGTGGCGGTTGAGGGCCAGATTTTGCAGGCTTCGCTCGGTTGGTTTTGAATCTACCAAAGCAATCGAACACACTGAATGCTGCGATGTTCCGATAAATTCTTGCCGCCATACCTTCTCTCGATGCCGATCCGAATGTCCTGGTGGTCATCGTCGTCGGAAGCGGGAGGCATTTTTGCGCATGAATCGACTTGCAGTTTTGATAGACCGATTCTCTACAGTTCTTTTCTGCTCGTGGTGCCGGTCGTCTAGGGGTTGAAAGAGAGAGGTTCAGAAGGCTCGTCAAGTGGCAGCAAGACGCTTTCAACTCTTTCCAGCATTGTAAAAATCATTTCATCGCTGCCAAATTATTCTCGAGAAATAATATTTTGGCCCAACAAAGGGCATAAACTCTTCACACTATAATGTAAAGTATCGGGTTATAAGAATTGTTATTGTAACAATGATGAACGTGACATGCATTGCAGTCAAATGTGGTCCTATCATATACAATGAAACGTGGTGGGTCCCATCAAGTGATTTGAGTCTCCCGCAGTCCCATCAAGTAATTACAATGAAACTTCTCCAATCCGGAGACAAAAGCTTCCAAGGGGAGTAGTACTCCTGCAATCATGAATCGTCGTGGAATCTGGCTATACTTGACACAGTCCAATTGGAACAACTCAGTGCAGACAACGCTGTGCTATCTAGAGGCCCAGCAGCAGTAGCACATGTGTATGGCGGACAACGAGTCCCCATTCATGCGGAATCTCGTAAGCCCCGGCTGGACCCCGGGGTCCAGCCCTGTGCAAAGCGAGCAGTCGTGTACGCAGCAGTCAGCTCCTGAATGATTCAGTCTATGTCGGTTCGTTGAACACTCCGTATCTACTGTGTTTGAAATGGCGAGCGAAATCTTGATTATGCAGTAGCCAGTGTCGTGCGCAGGGCATTGTTCTCAGCGCTCCGATCACGACCCCGATCACAATTACGACCCCGATCGCCGTTCCGATCTCAAATGCTCGCCAGAATGTACCATCCAGGAGCTCGGACGACGGAGCCCCGAGTGTGGCCGAGCTTCCGCTTGCGTTGCTGTCTTGCGCCACACAAGTGGTCTCGAGCGGGGGCCCGCAGAGCTTATCGTTCCCGGGCTTGAAGGACGAATTGGCATACCTCGTGGAGAAAGCATCCGCCGTGGGGATCTCGCCCTCGAGGAAGTTGTAGGAGAGATTCAGATAGCTCAAGCTGGGCCTGCTCAGCGCCGCAGGAATCTTCCCCGTGAGATAGTTGGCCGACAAATCCAGCGACTGGAGACGCAGCAGATCTCCGAGCTCCTGAGGGATTTCGCCCGAGAAATTATTGTGCTTCAGATTCAAGTACGTCAACCCGCGCAGCTCTCCAAGCGCGTACGGGAGCCTCCCGGAGAGCTGGTTGTATGACAGGTCGATGGAGAACAAAGTCTCGAGGACGTACTCGAGTTCGAGTCTCGAACCTTTGGCCTCAATGGAGATTTGCTCGAGCAATTTCTTCCCCTGAACCTCGACACGGGTCGAGGTGATGATGATGCTATCGCTGACACTGATGCCTCCCCCGGCGTCGTCTGGTGACGCTTCGAGGCGACTAAAGCCTTCCAACCCCGAGAGATTGGTGGGCCAGACTCCCGTGAATGAGTTGTGCGACAAGTCGAGCACTTGCAGCTCCGGAAGCTTCCAGATCCAGCCGGGCACGCGGCCGCCGAATTTGTTGGATGCTAATTTCAATACTCGCAATTCGCGCAGCACCAGTTGAGAGTACTCGTAGTTGTCGGGGAGCTCCTCTGAGAACTGATTGCTGCTCAGGTCCAGGAGCTTCAGATCCGTGCAGTTGTACACGCTGACGGGAAACTCTCCGCCCAGCTGGTTCCCGTTGACAGAGAAACTCTCGAGGGATCGCAGCTGCAAGAAGTCAATCTCAGTGACTGTGCCCGTGAGCTTGTTGTTGCTCAGCCTGATGTTTCTCAGCGAGCTACAGTTCGCCAGAGACGCGGGAATGGTTCCCGTGAGGTTGTTCCTGTCGAGGATAAGATACGCCATATTCTGCAGTCGCCCCAGCTCTGGAGGGATTCCGCCTGTCAGCCCGTTGATATTGAGGCGCAAGTACCTCAAATACTCCAGACCTCCGAACTCCGGAGGGATTTCTCCTGTCAGAAAATTGTTGCCAAGATTGATCTCCTCGATTTTCGGGTCGGCCAAGCTGGTGGGTATGGGCCCCGAGAGCCGGTTATTGTGCAGGAAGAGGAATACCAAATTCGGCAGCTTGCCGAGCTCGGCGGGAATGTGGCCTCGGAAATCGTTGTCGTTCAGGACCAAGAACGTGATGCCGTCCGCGAGCATCGAGAGGTTTCTCAGCGGGTCCAGCGTGCCCGTGAGACTGTTGTTCGCCGCGTGTAGAATAAAGAGCTGCGAGAGGTTTATCAGCGGGTCCAGCGTGCCCGTGAAATTGTTGTTCGCTGCGTGTAGTATATAGAGCTGCGAGAGGTTTCTCAGCGGGTCCAGCGTGCCCGTGAGATTGTTGTTCCCTGCGTTCAAGAAAACGAGTAGCGAGAGGTTTCTCAGCGGCTCTAGCGAACCAGTGAGCCTGTTGCTTGCTGCGTACAGGTCCATGAGCAGCGAGAGGTTTCTCAGCGGCTCCAGCGTGCCCGTGAAGTTGTTCGAAGAGGCGCCTAGCGATTGGAGCTGCGTGCAGTTGTTGAGGCTGTCAGGCAATTCCCCGTCCAGCCGGTTGCTGGAAAAGCTTAAATGCCGGAGGTTGGCCAGCTGCCCCAGGTTCTCGGGGAGGCCGCCGGTGAACTCGTTGTCGAACATGTAGAACTCCGTCAGGGCCGTCATGGCCGTCACAGCTCTGGGAAAGCCGCCACGAAAGTTGTTCCCGTCGATGAAGAGCTTTTCGAGCCGATTCCACGAAGTGGATTTCACTTTCAGAAAACTCCCCCTCAGGAAGTTGTTCCCCACGTTCAGAAACTCGAGCTCCGACAGCGACACCAGCTCCACGGGGAACTCTCCCTCCAGGGCATTGTTTCCCAAGTGCAGATACTTGATCTTCGTCAGGTTGCCCAGCTCGGATGGGATGGAGCCTGTGAAATTGTTCCGCTCGAAGCTCAGATACTCTAGATTCACGAGCTGGCCGTACTCTCTCGGAATGGGACCCGTCAATTTGTTGTTGCCGGAGAAATCCAAGTACCACAGCTTCGTGCAGTTGGCGATGGACTTGGGAATGGGGCCTCTCATCTCGTTCGACCGGAAAGGGTAGTAGTCCTCAATGGAGTCGAACCCATTGAAGAACCCGCCATTGAAGAGGGTGCTCAGGACCAGAACCTCGAGCTCAGAAAGCAAACCCAGCTCCTCCGAAATGAACCCATTGAAGAACTCGCCCTGTGCTCCGATGTAGAGGACTCGTAGGCTCGACATGTTGCCGTACTCTGCAGGAACTCCACCGAAGAGAAAATTGTCGTGGACGTCCAAGGTCTGCAGCCTCTGCAGCCGGCCCCATTCCACTGGAAGCTCGCTCAACAGGAAATTGTGGCTCAGATCGAGGTCCACGAGGTATTCGAGCTTGCTCAACGAAGGACCCAAAGTGCCGTTCATCTTCAGCCCGGAGAAGTTGAGGGAGATCACGTGCAGCTCATCGTCGCAGATGACCCTCGTCCACGAGCAGTAGGTGGACCGA